TAACAAAAAAATAATGATTCTTATTTTTCAGGTGATTATACACTAATGAAAACATACCTATGAATATTATATTGCATTTCTGCCAATAGATCATCCTAAATGTTGGACCTTCAAAGCAATGGTTCTGCTGCATTTGCATTAGTGTTGTCAATGGGAGCTGATTTTTGGTTTTGAACCACTGCCTTATCTCCCCCGTATTTGTATACAGGTGTGCTAAGAACACATGTGCCTATACCTACTGGTATAAAAAAACATTTACAAAAAACAATTATTTATTAATATTTACTTATTTTTTTACAAAAAATGGAAAAAAAAGACAGAAAACACATTTTGTTTATTACCAACAGCCTAGATCTTTCTAGGTAACAGTAAAGTTTCTATGTAATTAGTATTTTAATTAGTCAATTTAGATGGTGGGATGTAAAGTACTTAACTGGGTAAAATTTTTGGCTGTGTTCCTCACCTACACATTTTCACAGTGTTGATACTTCAAACTCCTCTCTTACCCTCCACCTCTTACAGCGAGCCGATGTGGGACTCTCTGCCCTGACCATCACGCCTGAGCGAGAGAGTGTCGTGGATTTCACCACACGCTACATGGATTATTCTGTGGGCGTTCTGCTGCGAAAGGCCGAACGCACCGTGGACATGTTTGCCTGCCTGGCACCCTTCGACCTGTCACTGTGGGCGTGCATTGCGGGCACTGTGCTCCTCGTTGGCATCCTGGTGTACTTGCTCAACTGGCTCAACCCACCCCGGCTACCCATGGGATCTGTGTCCTCAACAACACTGTACAATTCCATGTGGTTTGTGTACGGCTCCTTTGTACAACAAGGTAAGGAAGAAATGGGATAGAGGGAGTGGAATGCAGGAGAGGGTAAGCAACAGATGAATGAGTGAATGAATGTTTGGATGGGTAGATAAGGATTAATGAATGCACAGATGTGGTGGTTTGGTAAATATGCGTGGTTTTATATAACAAAGCAAGTTCTAATGCTCTAATTAAAAAAAATATATAGTTGTGATGACAACATTGCATTTGGAGAGTGAACTGGAACACACATTTCACATAGCCCAGTCTCCTAAAAGTTACATTTATACACTACTACTTTGCAACACATATGTTTAGAAAGCTTCCCAGATGAGGACACATTTTAAAGTTAACAAAATCTATGATCTCTCCTAACTTCGTGTTTTAGCATCCACATAGGATTCAGGATGTAAACCCCTGTCTTCAGTGTCAGTCCAAGACTCAACTCTCTATAGACCTTTTTAAATAAAGATCCTACAATACTGCCCACCATGTGGCCAAAAGCATGCTTTAACTAAACATGGCTATGTCAGCTATGGAATGAGTAGAGCCAGCGTGTTGTTCATTTGTATATTTTCATAGTTTATTATGCTTACTCCAGCTGGCAACCAGAAGGTGCACAGTTGTGTAGTTGTTTAATATTTTGCCATAGGGATATTGACTTTTAAAACATACTGTATTTGCAGGGTCTATCACAAAGGTAAAAGATAGAGAGATAATGGGAGGGGAGGTAAGCATAGAAGAAAAACTGTGATTGCTAAAGCAATCTAATGTAAAAATTTGATAATAGCAGTCCTCTGGGTGTCATAAGTGTGGATTGACCTTTTGTGTTTGAGCACAATAATCAGATGAGAACAAAAGGGAGGAGAGGTTTTGTTCCACGTGGATTGAGTGAAGGATAATGACCTCATCCTTGTTATCTGTCCAAAGATTTTCAAGAATCCATCGGGCCATGCTCAGGTGTGTAGATCAGACAATTGACACCTAGGGAAGGATTTAAATTTCATCAGTGCAGGAATAGAGCCATGACAGGGAGAGGAAAGGGCAATGGGAGCAGGGAAAAAAATAAGATGACATAAATATGGCTGTACATTATGTTTGTTTTCCAGGTGGTTTGTGTCTTTCATTGAGTATCAATATTTCTATTGAGTATAGTATGAAGGAGAGACACTGAATATGTTCATTTTCATAGGCTCATTCTTGTTTGCGTGACTGTGCGGATGTGTGTGTGTGGTTTGATGCATAATAAATAAGTAACTGCTATCTTCCTATGAGCACAGTGTGCTCTTGCTATCATACTCTGGGACTCGTAATAGTTAATTTTTTAAGCTACATTAATTATGCAAATTTTAGGAGAAATTATTTTTTATTTTTTTATGCTGCCTATGAAATATTTTAGGCCCTGAATAAGCAACTGATGAGCATTCCACCGTTTGGTAAATAATCCTCCATCTTGTGCTGGAGCTAATGGTGGTAATGATGATGATGATACATGCTAATTGCTGTTTGATATTCGCAATCGTTTAATCGTTTCTCTTTTTAGCTGTAATTAACATTTTAGTCATGGCATCATTAGAGAGAAAAAAGAGAGAGAGAGAAAGGATGTAATTCTTCAAGTGTAGGTTTTTTCTTTGTGTGTGTACATTGGTGTGTATGGATCTGTGTTCAGTGTATATACTGTACAGTATGTGTAAGTGTGTGTGTCTTCAGGTGCATCTTGTTCATGTGAGAGGAACTGTGCTTTAGCCATAAGTAATTCATTTCTGATTTGGCTAACTCACAAAATTAACTGAGCATGAACAGACTACTGCCGCAAGGCTAAGTTGACTGACCTTCACTACCATTAAAAATCACTGGAATCTGGTTTACTTATAACTAACTATTTCACTATTTTGTGAAGCAGAGATCTCATCTTTCAGACACATGATGACTTAAGGTTTCGTGGCTCTCTGAGTAGCATGGTTTTCTGAGTAGCATGAATGAGATATCTCACTATAGGATACTCCTCACATTCTCACATTTTCAGAGAAGCTTCAGGGCCTTTCAAGCACATTCAAAACAAGCACACCTCTTCTTCCCCACAGCAGCGAATATGGCAGTCTGGTGAGACATCTCATTCCGTATTGTGAGACAAGCTTATCTTGATGACTGACTGACAAAAAACAGCGGACACTGTGTTGTCCACCACCAGTGAATTCAAATTCTGAATCCTGGTCATCCTTAATCTATCCGATGCATTGCTCTCACAGAGTGAGTGGCATAATGCCCCAGGAATAACGGAAAAAGGTAGGGGTGTAATGGTTCTGAAACCCCAACAGAGATTCTGGTAACCAGCTATACATACTACATACTTGCACGCACGGAACAGAAATTCTAGAGTGTGAGTTTTACTCAGAACGTTGACAGTGCACCACTTGTTATGTGTTAGCTGTAGCATGCTATGCTGACGAATGTCACAGGTCACTATATGGGAGCATTTCCCGGTTAGTTACAGTGAAAACTGACCAAGATTAGTGTCAACACTGAAGTCACTTTAAACACGATGACTGCATCGAATGTGTCGATGAGCGGAATCAGACAAAAACAGACTGCAACTTCTTTCTCCCCACAGCTTTCAGGCAGCCTCCCACTCAGACCCAATTACTAACTAATGTTACAGGAGTGTTTATCTCTGTGAATATGTGGCCATTCTCAGTCTAGAGAACAACATTATATAATTCTAGTATATGATCAGAGTACATTTACTGTTCTGCCCTTAAACATACCTCCCTGCCGAATAGGCTGGAATCGATTATGACTACTTTCCTGGTCAATACCATGCTCATACACACAACTTTCCTGAGGAAATAAAACCGTTTCAAATGGTGAAGTGCAAGTGCGCATGACTTAGATGCCATAACCCTGTAGGGTCTCAGGCACACTGGGTCCAATCTGAGAGAAGCCCAATGCTGGAAATCTCTCATGTACAGTCTGCCCAGCCTAACCACCAACAGCGCTGAAGCTATTAATCCCAACAACCGGAGACACAGACCGTACGTGACCTGTTTCTCTGTGACGAAATGTGCCAGAGTGGACCTGAATGCATCCATTCTCTCGGCTGAAAGGCAGGCTGAGCAAGTGACCGAATACATTGTCAGACCCAGAAAGGCTATGTTCTGTCTTGGTGTTAACAAACTGTTTTCCTGTTCACCACAGAACATTGCCCAGTGTAAGCATCTGAAACTCTTGCTTCCTGAGATACTCATTTAAGGCATGCAGGACCAGGATGGAATGTGCACTACATTTCCCTGTTTCTTTGGGACCAGGAAATACCTTCAATCGAAACTCTCTTGCCTCTGCTTGTGAGGCACTATTCCTAAGGCAAATATTATCTCTTGTTACACCAAGGCTGACTTCCCCTGTATTTAGAGTTATAACGCAGTGATGAATTGAAGTCAGTAGCCCCTCATTAGTGTCCTTGACACTCATATTGACACCATGCATGCTTTCTGAAACTCTCTTTTCGTAAAGATTTCGGAGAGTGAATCTCTGTCGAGCCCCCCGATTTCTGGGAATGTCTTTTGGCTGTATAACATTGTCCCCTGGCACCTGGTTGCTACTATGTATGTGCGCACTGACACACATGGGACAACTAGACTGTTTCACTCCAGGGTAGGCAGTGTTATAGGTTAAAACACTATGTTTTGCAACGTCGTGTTTATCTGTTTTTCTTGTGAAAAATTGTACCACTGTGCCCTCGGCTTTGTGCCTGGATGCGTCAGTGAACAAACATTTACTTCCACAAAGTGTGTGAGTGCTTGTGAGACTTACGTGTGGCACTGAACAATCCAACACTTGAACTGAGTCTCTTCTGCTCTTGGCTGGAACGTACAAACTGAGCTTCCGAGTCCACACATCACTAAGAGGGAGGGGTAGCACTGGGGAACTTTTTTTCTAGACACACCAGGACACACTGGAGGTGTCCAGTCTGGTCTTAGGACAGTTAAGCTAGTTAGCCTAGTAACAACTAGAGGGTAGTGATGCTCTGTCTGTCATATATAAAGGCGGAGGGTCCTGATGCTTAATGACGTCATGCCAACCATTCAGATTTGGCATAATGGTATAAGTGCTTCTTTGAATGTGTGATGTGACATATGCCGCAGTGAGAAATCAAAGTGCTAGAGAACTAATTATAAAATGAAACTATATCTTAACTGACAAATAAGACTTAATTTGAAAAACTACAAACTACAAACAGGTTCAAAAAAGGTTCATAAAGTCAGTGTCAAATATAAACACACACACTGAATATTCATGCAGCAGTTCTCTTGCAGCACCTTTATAATGTCCCATACCTTTGTGCCTCACCCTGAAATATTACCCTTAGGGAAAACTGATTCAGATGCAAAAGCACGCACGCACACACACAGCAGGGGGAGCTGGAGATGAGTGATAAGAGCGAATAGTCAAACATGATGCCAGAATTTTGCTTTTGGCTGTGTCATGTTAAGAGAGAGAGGGTTAGAGGAGAACGAGGGAGGTGCAGAGGGATTACACTGATTTCTCTAGACCCTTCTCTTTTCTTTTCTTCCTCCTTTCCCTCCCTTTGACAATTTCTTCCTATCCACTTCCCGTACTTATACTTTTTTTCCTTTCATCGCTTGTTTTGTATTATTTTGTCCCTTCTCTTCATCACCTGTCCTCCTTCTTCCTCTGGCTCTTCTTGTGTCCCCTTCCTTACCCTCATTCTCCCCTCTTCTTCCCAGTCTCTGTGATTCTCCATTTTCTATATTCCAGCACTCCCTACTTCTTGCTCTTCAGGGCCACCAAAGTACCAGCCAATTGATTGTCTGTTTACAACTTCACCCATAAGTCTCTCAGTCTGCTGTGTGTGTTACTGCCAATAGAGGGAAAGACATAAAGGAAGTGAGAGAGAGGGAATCGGAATAGTGGGAAAAAAATGTCTGTACTCCATAAACTGTCTAATTGGTCTCAAGGAGAGTGAGAGAAAGAGAGAGGGGAACAGGTAAAGACACAACAGAATG